CCCGGGCCCCCGACGGGACGGCCGGAGCGCCAGGCGGGGCCGCCGCCCCACGGCCCCCCCAGAGACCACCGGACGGGGCTGCCGCCTCACGGCCCCGAAAGCCTAAAACTCAAGTGTTCCCGCCCGGCGGAGGCCACGCAGCTGGCCCGAGACCTGGAAGGACCACAGCGGTTGTGAGGATCGTTAACCCGATGCTCTAGCAGTGCTGTAGCTGTGACCCATCCTTCACAACGTAGCTATGGTCTTGCAAATCCATAGCGCCACTAGTCCCTCCCTGGGATGTCCTTTTCCTGTATCTCCCTAAAATAAGATGTCGATAGAAAAATATACTCAAGTACTTTAAAAAACAAAAAACAAAAAACAAAAACAACAACAACAAACTTGTGTTACTGGAGAAACATGTTCCTGAAAAAACTTACCAGGAATGATTATTACTTCCCTTAGCTTTTGGAAAACTCATGTTTCACTTCAGGCACCTACTGCTCAAGCTTGTATGTGTTTGTATCTAAGCAATTGTACCTAGAATTTGGAACTCTTAGTTCTGCATATGCAGCAATTCAGAAAAACAACAAAAGCTGTTTCTCGTTTTCCACTTTTTACATGAAAGGAGCCTTAAAGTTAACACAATTGGGCCAAAAAATTGTATTTCTAATTTTAGCAGACACAGTCTGGGTTTCTCAGTACTGACAAACTCTAAGAGTGAAGGACAATTTAGGTGGCATATAGATGCGTTTTGCTTCTCCTACACAGCAGAATGAATGTGACCTTCTGAGTAAGATCACCTTTCTACTCTGGGCCAGTGACCCCTTTTATTTTGACATTGTTTCTGCTTTTTTAATCTTGGCCATCTGTCTGAAAGCTCTCTTCTTACTCTGGTTGCTCCCAATGGCCAGCATGGCCTGGATATAAGGCCTTGGACATCCTCCCTCTCCCTCCCTGATCCCCTTGCACTGACCTCTCTGTTGAGGGGTTGTGGGGCAGGATGGACAGTGTGAGACGCTGTAGCCTGGAGTGAACATCCCTTACAGATGCCTTACTAATGGCTCAACCTGTGACCTTTATGGCATCCCACATCACAGTGCTACTCCATCAGCCAGGAGCTTTAAATACTTTAATTATTTTTCTGAAGGGCAGTTGCCAGATTATTTAATACAGTTTCATAGAAAGCCAACTTGAGAAACCAATAGAGATGAGTATCATCTCTGCCCACTGAAAGCTGAGCACAGTTGCCAGGGGGTACAAATTTCCAAGCCCCACAATTTTTAATTAATTTTTGCTGTTCAAGTGAGAGTCTTCATTGTAATATATTATATACAAAAAGAAAAAAGTATGGAAAATATGACACACCATCAATTACTTGTCTGCAGAATTAATTAAAACAATGCAACTAAAATGAAGTTCTGAGAAGAATGAAACCATGTAAAGATTTATAATTCACATTCTCTCTCTCTCTCAAACCAAAAGAGTAGAATTCCTCTTCTTTGCAGGCAGTATCTCAAGGGACAAGCTGCAGGAAGGTTTTCTATTACCATAACTTTGCTACTACAACACAATTAATTAGGATAGCAAATCTGATAACGTGTTATGAAACCTCAAAGAAACCAAATTAATTTAGGGGCAAAGGAATGAGACTGTCCACTTACTGAAACCTGTTGTTTGACTGGGGTAGATAATGCACACATCTCCAAATCAAATGCTTAGGTGATTGCTCCACGTCCCTTACCACACTCTGCTCGGTAACACACAACGTGACGCAGGCCACACAGCAAGATGCAGATGGTGATTCTGCCAGCCTGAGGCATGTGGAGTGCAATAGTAAATGGGGCACCACTTAAGCCCATTCATCCCCCGGCACTATTTTTCATTTCTGCAGTCCTCTACTACACCACAGTCTTAAAAAGCAAACCCAAAAATCAACAAAAAAAAGATAGTACAAAATTTCTAGGCTTCAAGAATAAGCACAAATAAAGGCATTCCACAGAGCTGCAAATCTGTGAACTCTTATGTATATGGTAGAAACCCAAGAATGAGAGGATCTGAAGATGACATACCAGCAAGCAACTTAAATATAAAAGCTTAGTGAACTCCAATCTGGCACACTACAGTTTTATTTCACACTGAAAAGGTCAGATGGTGAATAACTTCAAAATTAGTGGTTAAGCAAAGTATCACTTTACAAGGTGTTTCTCCCCCCCCTCTATAAGCAAAGGAAGAGGGAAGAGAGATTACCCTAATCTCCTATCATTGACCCAGAACATGTTGCTAAGCAGGTGGCTGCAGACAGCTTTCATAGATAAGTCTCTAAAGGGCTCCACGGAACGTTACTATGGATGCCAGTGAAGTGCAAAGGTGAACACAGAGGAAAAAGAAAGGTAAAGCCTCTACTGCAAACATAATTTAGCTTACTCAAGAGAATCTACTGATAGACAATATTAAAGTATTAATTTTATAATCATCAGATACCACGTAACTCAAGAGAAAAAAAACAGTTTCCTGGTTAGTTCTCTAGTTGGTTTGGGGTTTAATTATTAAAGCAAATACATTTTATTATTAAGAAAAACTACAGAAATCCCAAGCAAGATGGTATCTCTTACATGGAATATTGGCACGTCCAGTTGTGTAAAAAATATTTCTATTGGTAATATCCAATGACCATCAAAAGAAAGAACTGATTCAACTTAAATAAAACCCAAACATAATAGTTGAAATCAAGACATATGGAAAAACTAAATTCTCAGGAATTAATTCACCTGCTGATGTCTTCACAGTATGAAGGTTCATTCACATACAGATAGATGGTACACAAAGGAAATACTCATAAAAAGCCTACAAACTGTAGATCAAGTTACTACGCAAAAAAATTTGTAACACTGAAATATCCAGACCTATATCAGGATGGTCTGAAGGAGTCAAGATCAGGCCTCAGTCCTTTTTCTTAAAATGCCCAAGTGTCAAGTGACAGGATATTGCAAGCCTTGACTAAAACTACAGGACAAAGAGCACAAACTGCAGATTTGTTTCAGGCCTATTTGATAAAATTCAATGTACCAAGCATCCCTGAGACAGGCTCTCTGTCAGAATCCAATGCGAGATGTCAATGTCCCTAATGTGGCATTACCATCTGCTAGCACTGGTCGATATGGACCCACACACACGTCAGTATCATGTCATACAGTGTACCAGGGATGTGCTCAACATCCCTAAACTTCAGTTTCCACTACAAGGACCAGAAATGCTGATTTAGTCATAATCCTGCTACATAACCACACAGAAACACATTTATGAACAAAATGAACAAAAGCAACTCCAGAATTAAATAAAATTACTACTTCATAAAACATTACCCTGCTTGCACTCTTCCCACTGCAAAGAGGAGAACAAGTATGATTTGGCACAAGTAGAACTCAAAAGGCAGAGATACCAATGTGGTAACAGCCACTATACAGGTAGACATAACCAGGCAAGGATGCTGCTAGGGAAACTGTCTCTTGCCTGGCAGACACTGCAGGCAGCTGAGCACATAGAAGGAAATAATTCAGAGTCTAACTTTTAAAAATTACATTTATGACTTAAATCCCAAAACAAAAGCAAGGCTGTGTTAAAAGCATTTTGCATGATCTGGTGATGAAGTAGAATAAAACCAGCATAATCACATAAGTACTTAATTAGGTTATCATGGAAAATCATAGCAGTTTGACTAAGACACTGATGCTGTAAACCAAAAAAAGAAAATTCTTCCCATTAACACAGACAGATCTACTCATAAAGCAGAAGAAAGAAACTGTGTTACCTTGCTTGGCGCACATACAACCGTGGGTGACACTGATGTCTGGGGCACATGAGCAAGGTAAAATCTAAATCCACTACTGAACCTGGAGCAGTCATCATAATTTCAAAGACATTTCCCATGTTTGGCTCTGTGAATGACAAAAATTTGTCAGGAGCTACAGAGAAACTTCATTATGTAAGCTTTTCAATCATCAGCAAAATTGTTTGAGGAAAACAGAGATTTGAGTTTAAACCACAGATGGCATAATGTTCTTTTAATTTAAGCAATGAAGCTGAAATAATAGTAGCAGAAATGTGAAAAAAACTGTTAGTGGATTAATTTGTTAATTAATCCAGCAGCCCAAAGCTGAATAAAGCTTCAAAACAATCAGAAATTGGTAGGATCAAATCCCTACAGAAAAACTAGTCGTACAACCAATGCTATATGCCACTGGAGAATCCCACTGCCAGGACTCATTATGCTGAAGGGAAATGGAAGCTGGCACATATGGAGGTATGTCTGTGTGTGCCTATGAATATATATATACGTGCCTATCAGTCTCTCTAAGTACAAGCGCTGATTTCAGTCTCTTTACTGTATTCAGCCAGAAAACATGACAACGCTTGTAGGAATTCATTTCTGCGAGCTTTACTCCTGATTAAAGTCTTGTCTGTTCCTGACAAATTTAAAGATTGAAGTAAATGCAGATTGCTGAATGGGCTGCTGGAGTAAACATGTAACCACACAAACCTCGTTTACAAGGTATGTCCATTAGAGGATTAGGAGTTTGTGTTTTCTGTATGTTTAGAAAAGTTCTCAATATTTAAAAAATCCCACTAAAACACAAAAAACACACCCACAAAGAAGTTCACCAACATAGTGTATATTATTAGTAGTAGGATTTGAGATTGTTCTCGTTATTTTAAGAATAAAATAGTATCAAATTCTTACCTAAATCCACAATAGCTGGCATGAAGAGAAGTATAAACTGCAGTTCTGGTACTGTGATGAAAGCTCTCCTGAACAAGTAACATAACTGTATTGAGTCTTTCATCATTACACCCATCTATTAGATAGAGCAGCTAGTCTTTTAAAATACAATTTTTTTTCTCCAGTGTCTCTTAATCTTCCTTCATGAGTCCACATGGCTCAAAAATTAAAACGTTTTATTTATGACAAATATGATAAAATGCAATTAATCTCGGCTTTTTAATATTTTTTTCTTTTTTTTTTTTTTTCCTACTTCATTTTTCTTTTAATTTCCTAATCCTTAGATTTCAAGCATCCTCCTGTTTATATCAGCTCCCCAGTGGTGGAAAAATTAAAGATGCCAGATCTCTGCTGGCAGATCTCTGACCTGGCATCTGGATGAGCTGGCTTGACATGACAAAGTAACTGTAAATTCAACAGCAACAGCACCCTGTGCAATTTGCTGTTTATGTAAGCAGATTCTGAGTATACCAAATAACCTGAGCAATGGTTACATTTGAGTACTGAGCTAACACAGCAATACATTATGTTGTTTGTACTGAACCTGGGAACAAACGCATTCCAGAAACATTTACAGCTTTTTAAGCTTCCTGCTCAGTCATGTGCTTTGATTTTTACAAGTGGAAATGTAGGAAGAAAAACCAATCTTCCTTGCAACTGCAGTACTATTTCTGTGAGAAATTACAGCAAAGATACAGCTAAACCTCATAACAGTTTGGGAAGCATACTTGGAACTACAACACCTTGCTTTCAAAGCCAATAGTGCACATTTGATTAATACAAGGTTATATTTTATTACCTTCCAAGACTGCTTAGAGAGATACTTAATTATGATCCAGTGACAGTGTTAAGGCATTTTTAAATTCCATATTCTCTCTAAATGATGGCAGGAGACTGCATATGTTTCACTACAGAAAGTGACTTAAGAACTCACCTAACAATTTCTTGGGAACATCCAGCTGCATATTCTTGTTTTGCCACAAAAAGATGCATGAACAATGTGTTTAAAGGCTACAAAATGAGGAATGAAAATCTAAACACCATGAAGTCAATATTTGTTAAGTCAATCCAAGCACTAACTCACACATTTATTTCCAACATAAATGATCTGCACTCAGTAACTTCAAATATATAGTAACTTCAAAGCATATGTAGATAAAGTTATGTGATTAAAGGACTTTTTTCATATCACAATTTTTCTTCTGTAGTATTTTTGATTTACACTCAAGCTAACAACATTTTAATTTAAACACAATTAACAACATTTAATTTAATATTTGGCTGATAAAGCTGATAAAGACTTTATTCCTAGGTTAAAACCAAAACAAACTCATGTACTTCTTATACTCCTAAAATGGTTTTTCTTTAAAAAAATAAATAAATTACAAAGTGTCAGGATTACATCATTAGACACATAAGTATCCAGGCAGAAATGGGTCAGACTAAAATACATCTCTATCCTACATGTCTCCAAGTAACCTAGAAAACAGTAGCAAAGGAAAACATTTGTGCTGGAACAAAAGGTGCTATTACTCTGCCTGTTTCCTCTTGCATGTTAATTTCAAGTGCTGAACTCAATGAAGGTCTACTTGTAGATGAAATATTTATTTAAAGATATTTTAAATGGGAAAACTCGAGGTTTTCTGAATAGTTTAACATTAATAGAAGTGGCAGCATATAGACACAGCACAAAGGCAACAGGCTATTTTAATGAATAAACATCAAACCCCATTTCCAATCCTTCCCAAACCTTGCACCTATCTTATTTCCATACACTAGGAAACAGACTTGTCAACTAGACTTAAAAAAATCTATTTTCAGAAGATTTCAACTTTCTGCAGCACATCTGCATGGATTTAACCTGCAGGTAACCAATGATAACTCATCTAGTTTTAAGTCACAACAAATTCAGTTGTTTTGTCAGTGCAGAAGCAGCAAACATACACTGAACCTTCTGTACATGTTTTAGAAAATAATATCCATTCTAGAAAAAGCAGAGGTGCTCTGCTCCTTGTCTGTATTCCAAAGTACTCCTCACTCCTGGTTAGGACCCATAATTCCTAACATGCTCATGCTCTTTTTTTGTCTTTTCTCTTTGTATGCCTCTGCACTCCGAAGTCAGCTGCAGCTTTGCTGCGGGAGGTATTGTCATGCAGGCAGCCTGAGGAAGGGCTTGAAGAGCTGACAGCACAGCATAACCCACCAGGAGCAGCTGCAGCTGCACAGTGAATGAAATGGTTGTGCTTGCAGTGTGCTTGTATACAAAGTACTGTTCAAGTGACAAAGGAAACAGATTACAAGAAAATTAAATGTGTTTTTTTTTTCTATACTCCCTTTGGCTGTAATAATGTTATTTCTTTTAACGGCACACAGCATTTTCAAATGCAATTGCTGTATTTGTCAGCTTTTCTGCAAGCTATTGCTTAATATTGCCCAGAACAACATTGGAAAACTGATGAACAAACTGTCTAGAGAGAATTTCAGTACTGCCAATACTGTATTCTGGCACGTGCTGCCTAGCTTTTGAGTGTTCATAGTTAATGCTTCACATCTTTTCTTGACAATCACAGGATACAGGTCCTAGCTCAACTAACTGACGGGCAGCATTTGAATCCTAAACTACTAACTGCCTATTTCTAGTCTGTAATTCTTAAGAGTAATTCATAAACTTGACCAAGGAGCCTGTGTGAAAACTGGCACCACACAGAATGGAGCACAGCAATCTCAACACAGCACTAAAGAAGCCTACTCCAGAACCAAAACGCTCGTGTCAGCAGGGTCTTCCACACGGTGCGTGTCCCCATCCTTCAAGCAGGGATACGCTCCCTGTCTCCTGAAGCCACTACATTTTCATTCAGTTCTGAAAAACAGCAAAACTTCATTCCAAAGGTGAGAACTGAGGATTCCGGTTCCCTTACAGTGAAAAAGACCTTAGAGCAAGGACTCCACCTCCCAGGTAAATGTTCTGTTAGGCAACACCAGAGGTAGACAGGTTTTTGAATGAAAAGTGTTGGAGACAGCTATGATTCACTCTGCTTTCAGTGCTAGTACAATGCATTGGGCATGTTCCACAGGTCTGGCAAAGAAAGGACTTGTGTTCCCTAACTGCCATCCTTACAGTGACCTTCATCTACTGTAGTGGCAAAAGCACAGGTACTCATGAACTTCTGAGCACTTGAGGCTTACGTAAGGCAGCTGATGATCACATTCTTCAGCCTAAATGCCTCAAATCTATGTAAAATAGATTTTTTATGCCTATTTTTCATACTTGAGTCTTAAATGAAAACTCAACTAAAATAATACCATTTACTTACAGTGCATTTATTGTTAATGTAGTTTTCATGTAAGAATGATTCCCAATCAGACTGATCAGTGACATCCCAATTTGGATAGTCCAGAAACACAGCACTGGCTATAATTTCATTCTTCTCATTGCAGAGTGTCAATGCAAGATTTGACTTTTCTCTGTGAAAACAATATAATTTTGCAGAAGTTGAAGAAACAACACAAAGAAAAGTGACTGCCTGCTAATTCAGCCTGTTAGAATAGCAAAATTAACCATGTCCATAAGTGCTGCCAGGATCAGGCCTCAGCAGAACTTCATTGCTCACATCCTAACTTGAAACTACTGCTTCAATTTCAAATATTTAGTGCATTCTGGCATTATAAAAATTAATGTGATTTTTTCAAATCCTCAATTACTATGAATTTTATATGAAAGACTTAAATACTCCTTCTTTGCATGTTTCTTCGCACAGTTGTTTTTTTTCCTCAAATAGCTGGTAGATGAGGTATCTGCCATCAAGTCAAGTGGAAAAAAAAAAAAAAAACTAAAGTGACCCACTGGCTGAAACTACTGCTTCAATTTCAAATATTTAGTGCATTCTGGCATTATAAAAATTAATGTGATTTTTTCAAATCCTCAATTACTATGAATTTTATATGAAAGACTTAAATACTCCTTCTTTGCATGTTTCTTCGCACAGTTGTTTTTTTTCCTCAAATAGCTGGTAGATGAGGTATCTGCCATCAAGTCAAGTGGAAAAAAAAAACCAACTGAAGTGACCCACTGGCATTTCACTCAGTCTGTCACTCCTGTTAACACTGCACAGAAAGATGCACAAGGCTTCTCAGTATCCCCCGTGATGAAGGTACAGTAACAGAAGGCTTCTGCAGCCATCCATTTCTGCTAAAGACATTGCCATGCAAGCTGCCAGGATACACGTGTCAAAGCACGGAGGACATTCATTATCTTGAGGGCATGAAAAGAAGAGGCACACTGAAATATATTTTATGGCAGATATATTTTCCCAAGGCAGAAGGAAGAGCAGCAAAAAATAACCATTTCTATTTGTTAAGGGGCAAGTGGAAAATGGAAAAGATTTAGACATACATATGGAAAGAAAACTTAATTGTTACAGCTACGAAGTGACTAAAAACCCTAGTTCCTGCCCCTCTACTTCTATCATTCTCAACAGACAAAATGCTTTTGTTTGATGGAGCAGACAGCAGATATTGGAATCTATGGCTTCAACAGGTGTTATGCAAATGTATCTCTTCTGAAATTTTATAAAAAAGGAAACCAGCTAGCATAGAGTCAAATCTTATCCACTGTGTTGGCAGCAGCAATCCAAATTTGCAGCCATGCATGTGTGATGCAGGTAAGAGACAGAAGATGATTTTCTGCCTCTTCTTGAGAAAAATCATTATGCCACACCATATAAGGACTCATAACATTTTCTGCCATATTAAATGGCAGAATTAAATTAATTTCTTAAAAGTTTCCTGTAAGATGTCTCTAAAATACTGCTACTTACAAAAGGGTCATGACATCAATCCTTCCAAAAATGACTTCTGTAAAATAGTTGGAGAGGCTCTTAATATCTGAAACATCATGTGATTCTGTTCTTCTGGCACTGACCACCTCTGTATCTCCTTCTGAAGAAGTTATTGTAGTCATCTTACAGACTGCAATAAGAAAGAAAGCAAACATTGCTGTTCTGATGGATTCTGCTGCAATCCATTGTTCAACTCAGTTACTTGAAATTGATTTTATATAAACTGTGAAAAAGTGCAATTAGGATAGATTTAAGTGCCTGTTTCTTCTAGACATCTACAAAAATACGTACTGCCTGCCTATACATACAGCATGCAAGCAGCACACAAGTAGATACAACAGGCAATCATCCCTATTCTATGTATGCTACGTGAAAAATAAATGTTTTAAATAGGCTACAAATTGCTTTTACATTTATTTCTTTATAGGCATTTGCATGCAAACAGAACAGTGCTCATCATTAATAATTTCAAACTTAATAGCCTTATGTCTACAGGGTTGGGAGGATCAGCTGCAAACAATCAGGATAAGAGTGCCCTGGAACATTAAACAGCAATTTCAGGCGAGTTAAGTATTCTGTCCAAACAGCTCCTCAAATTTCTTTTTAAGTCAACAGCAATGCTTACATTTTCGAAAGGACTGAAAGACCCATAGCTTCCCTACCCAGAAGAAAAATATTTCTGTCAGGTCCAAGTGATTTATTGACATGCCCAGCAATTTCAGAACATCCAGGGGCAACAGGTATTCAGACCACCTGGGACTATCAGCTAACAGTTCATTTATCTCTCAGCTGTGTGGCTACTTGATATTGTAGCCTGTTGTGATATAATCAAGAATTAGGCACGTAAAACAAATTGACCAAACACAAAAACCTTCTGCAGCTTGTTAAATATACTTGTGCAAAATATAGCGTTAGTAACTTAGAAGAGTCTCAATAACCAACATAACTAGACTAGCAGAAGACTTGAACCAATCTACCAAACACAATGGCCATTTCTAACATTGGCTCCAAACCCAGATGTGATGCTCAATTATTAGGTCCCACAGATCTCAACTAACACCAGATAACAAAGGAAACCCTGAATTTTATACCTTTTAAATACAGAGAAAGTTGTGTGTCCAGCTACAACTTTCACATACAGTCAAGATATTGTTACAGGTGACAACACAGGTCCCAGTCACGCAAACGTAAATTTGCAAAGAGGTCCTGGCACACCCCATATGCTTAGTTAACAGAACAGTGGTTATGTAGAAAGAACTACCTAGGCTAGAGTGAACTTATTACTGAGTATAACAGTAACGTCTACAAGGAAAAATACCTATACCAACTTTTGTAAGCAACTTCTTCAGTGTCTGAAGTTCAAGAAGAACAGGGAACTGCTTGAAAAAGTCCAGGGCAGAGCCACAGAAATGATTAAGGGAGTGGAACATCTCCCTTATGAGGAAAGGCTGAGGGAGCTGGGTCTCTTTAGCTTGGAGAAGTGGAGACTGAGGGGCAACCTCATCAGTGTTTACAAATATGTTAGGGGCAACTGTCAGGAGGACAGAGCCAAGCATTTTTCAGTGATGTCTAGTGATAGGACAAGAGGCAATGGGTGCAAACTGGAGCATAGGAGGTTCCACGTAAACACCAGAAAAAATGTCTTTCTTGTGAGAGTGGCAGAGCACTGGAACAGGCTGCCCAGAGAGGTTGTAGAGTCTCCTTCTCTGGAGACATTCAAAACCCGCCTGAACAAGTTCCTGTGTGATGTGCTCTGGATGATCCTGCTCTGGCAGGGGGGTTGGACTAGATGATCTTTCAAGGTCTCTTCCAACTCCTAAGATTCTGTGATTCTAAAACAAACAGGAATTTTAAGATTTCATCACTGAATTTACGGCTAGCATAAAGACTACTTCAGCTAAGGAAAACAGTTTCCCACATTTCCGTATGACATTGTTCAACTTGATACATTGAAAAATATCACCCTCTTCTCCACTTGCTCCCCACTAAAGGCTTGAAACAGTCATGCAACCATGACCGACAGAAACCAGCATTTAGACATTAAACCTGTACCATTTTCATAAGCAAACCCACGGTTCCTAGAGCAACTCCTGTATTTCCCCCGTGAGAGCAGCGTACCACGGGTGAGAGCCCGGGCACAAGCAGCAGACACACAACAGCTCCTCCTCCCAGGCAGTGCTTCCAATCGTTTCCCCTCTGCCTCCTTGAATAAACACCCCGCTTTTAAAGCACGCGTGGGACGTGATGTGAAGCCTCGGGAGCCCCGAAGGAAGACCTGCGAGCCGGGCAGAGACCTCTCACCCGACCGGAGGGAGAGCGGCACGGGCAGGCAGGGCGGGGCGGGACGGGAACTGACCGCTCACACGGCTCACACCTCCGGGCCGGGTCCCCGCTCCCCCGCGGAACACACGGGAACAGCCGCCGGGG